GGGTTGCGAAGCTGCCCCGCGGCCTCTGCGGCGCCGGTTCGATCCCCAGCTGCTCCCCGGCCACCAGAGGAGGGTCCCACATGGCGCGCAGACCTCTCCTGCCGCCCGCTGCTCCTCTCAGCAGTGTACTTCGGTCCTTCTGCCTGCTCTGCTCCCTGCTCTGGCGCTGGTGAATTCTCTCACCCTCCCGTGCTTCTGACTGTACCCAGTGCATGTATAAACAAAACAAACAAACAAATAAATAAATAAATAAAACATGCCTCTCTTAAAAAAAAAAAAAAATCTAAAAAAAAAAAAAGTACAGGATCTATGGGGACACAAACAGCAATTACCAAATGTTATGCAATTCCTATTTACTCTTATTTTATTGTTGTTCATTTATTTTTTGATTCATTTGCTTATTATGTATAATATGTATATTTCTGTACATGTGTCATCCATGTACCTAAGTGTTAGAATTAGAGAGAACTGAGAAGTACATCTCTTCATGAAAAGTCCACAGAAATACAAGTCCATGGAAATAAGGTAATAATTGCAATAAGGTAATAATAGTTTATTATTAAAGACCATAATAGATTAAACTTGTATTAGGCTGACTAATCAAGGTTTCCTAAAGGAAACAACTGTAAACTAAAAATTCTTATAACCAAATTATTATTATTATTATTATTATTATTAAAGATTCATTTATTTATACAAGACCTGGGGTACAGGCCAGATGCGTGGAAGGGTGAGAGGATTCACCAGAGACAGAGGGGGGAACAGAACAGGCAGACTGACTGAAATACATTGCTGAGGGGAGCAGCGGGCCAGACAGGAGAGGTCTGCTGCGCCATTGGGGATTCTCGCCGGCTGGCAGGGATAGAACCTGTGCTGCAGAGGCCATGGACAGCTTCACAGTGTGGCGCTCAACCAACTGCACCACCAGGGAGGCTCGCCAAATTATTTTTAATAATGTTCTCAAATGTCTGTATAGCTTGAGCACTGTGATCCTATTTCACATTAGACTCTGATTAAGAAATAAAATGTTGGGCCTCCCCGGTGGCACAGCGGTTGAGTGCTGGGTTGAGAAGCTGCCCGCAGCCTCTGCAACGCTGGTTCGATCTCCGGCCGCTGGGCGAGGGTCCCACATGGTGTGCAGACTTCTCCTGCTTTCCGCTGCTCCCCTCAGCAGCATACTTCGTCAGTCTGCCTGCTCTGCTCCCTTCTCTGGCTCTGGTGAATTCTCTCACCCTCCTGTGCTTCTGACTGTACCCAGTTCTTGTATAAATAAATGTCTTAAAAAAAAAAAAAGAAAAGAAATAAAATGTTACAAAGTAAAAATTTTCTGGCAGATTAATTAAAAAGTGAAAAAGGTCTTAAATTGTACTAGGTGATAGGTAAAATAAAACAAATAAAAATTATTACCATTAAATTCCTATATCAATGAATCACATTTGGTATAAACAATTTTATCCTCTACTAGCAATGTCTGCTACGAGCCATGGCCAAGATTCATATCTGTCAGTAATAATTGGGCAAAAGATGGCAGATACAACACATTGCTTCCAGTTATCAGAACTCATGAAGAAATCTTGCCTTGGCTTCAAATAGAATTCAAAAAGCATTTCCTAGGGCCTCCCCGGTGGCGCAGCGGTTGAGCGCTGGGTTGCCAAGCTGCCCGTGGCCTCTGCAGCGCCAGTTCGATCCCCGGCTGCTCCCCGGCCACTGGAGGAGGGTCCCACATGGTGCGCAGACCTCTCCTGCCGCCCACTTCTCCCCTCAGCAGTGTGCTTCAGTCCTTCTGCCTGCTCTGCTCCCTGCTCTGGCTCTGGTGGATTCTCTCACCCTCCCGCGCTTATGACTGTGCCCAGTGCTTGTATAAATAAATAAATAAATCTTTAAAAAAAAAAGATTTAAAAAAAAAAGCATTTCCTATATTGAATATTATTACTGATATTCCAATAATACATAAAATCCACTTGACTATGTGACAACTTGGCTCTACAATACACATTCCTCATTATCACTACAACAGCTGCAGTATTACACACACTTCTTGTCCATCCTAGAAAATATTGTGCTGTCAGAAAAGTGATGACATATTTTTCTATGCAAAAAGGTGCCACGACTTTTCCGACAACCTAATATCTTCATCTGGGCTCTCTCTAAGGCTATCAGGTAGTAGCTGCACCTTAATCTCTGTTTCTTGGTCCATTCAATATCTCACAGGAAATAATCTAGAAATTTTATCTTTGAACAACTGACTGAATTGACAATTAATATTTGGAGCACTGCTTTATTCTTTATACAAAGAAGGTGAATGGTTACTCCAGTTGGTTGATGAGGACTCATCTGGAGGATGAAGGTTTGAATGGTGTGCCTTGAGAGTCATATGAGTTTAGTATTTAATAACATTTTACTTGTAGCAAAAAGTACAGCTTTTGCAGAGTGGGTTTAAGCAAATCACCTACCTTTATAACATAGTTGTCTTCCTTAATTTATAGTGGAACTGCTAAATGTGTGAGATTATGTGACTTTCTTTTGGAAAAAAAATATTCTCAAAGAACATACTTGAATGCCACTTGAATTTTTTTTTAATTTTTTCACTGTAATTTTTTCATGTATCAACCACAAATAGTTATTAACAAGTCAAAAGCAAGGAGTTAATGCTTATGAAATTAATTATTTTTAAAAAAATACTGTGTGAAAGCTTTTTAAGCACTCACCTTCTACATTCAAAATCATTAGAAACATTAGAATGAATTATGAGATCAAGCACATTATTGAGTGTGCAGGTTATAGGGGGAAACTGAAGTTTGGATCAAAGTCAGAATAATATTTGGAGGAACAGAGTGAGGATGGTTCATTTCATTTCCTTGATTTGAAAAAGTACTAAGAAAAGTCACCAAACAAATATATACTTTTAATACTAATGGCAGTGGAGGAACTACTAGGAATATAAAAATAATATACTTTGCATCATTAAAAATGTTACAGAGTTTTTATTTTAAGAATTTAAGTGTTAGGATGCAACATTTTTAGGTCAAATGAAATATGAAGCAGGTTTTAGGTACATAACCATGAACCACTTATAATCATTCTTCAACCAGAAAAATAATTAAGCAATTTTCTTGTTCAGTGTTTTCAAATCTATTATTAAAAATAATACATGTTTACTATTATACGTGGATATATTATACAAGCTATTATAATAATAGTTGTCAATTCAGCTAAAATGTATTGAATGCTTAAGTACAAAATCCTGTGTTTTTAAAATATAAATTTATATAATCTCTTATTTGGGCAAGAACTATACCTCATTGAGTTCATATGAAAAGAATCTCAAGTTCATGTCCCTATTTCTATATAAATTCTGAAAAATATTATGATGTTGACATTATGAGAAGTAAAGTAGAGAAAATCAAAGCATGTTAGGAAAGGACCTCTGCTCTTTGCCAAGAAAAGAAACTCTATCAGTGGAATTACATCAGTAGACAGCAGGCAGCACACAACACAACAACATAAAACATAATTAAGTTCATTTTTAACTAAGGAAATGATTTTGTGTAAAATGAATTGGATTTATGATAGGATGGTTATTTTGTGTTCTCTGATAGCTTATAGTTGAATAAAAGACACTTTCAGGAAAAAGAATTACATTCTTAAGATAACTGCTCTGACTACCAGCAAAAAGTATGCTGCATCATGTATCTGGATTTGAGCAAAAACTCTCTAAAGACCAGGGCAAGAAGCAGGCATAACTGATCTAAATGGCTTCTGCTACACAGGTCTGCAATTCTGGTTGTCTGGGATACTGAGGCAAGTCTGCTACTCCAAGAATAGAGGATCAGAGGCAATGGCTAATGAAAATATAAAAAAGAAATATAGCCAGTCTGTAGCTCCTCATATGGAATGTTGGTTTGTAGTGTAACACATTATAAAAAGTAGTTCCTATGCATACTTATTAAAGATATCTGTCAAAGTTAAATAACTTGGCCATTTCATTCATTGATTTTTAAATAAAAAATGACATCAATGCTTAGGAATGTGATTTCAGAAAAGTATTTTTACTTTTCTAAGCACAAAGGGTTGCATGAGGTCGCAAAATCCATGAAGCCAAATACTGAATATTAAAATTGATTTAAAAATAAATCAGATAACCTGTGAGAGTCTTTGGGGGAAGGTAATATGAATTCTCTCCTTGCCACATCCAAGTTATGAGTCTCTTATGGCTACAATAATTTTTATTTGATCAGGCACAGTTTGAAGCATGAACAAGAATGGTATAGAAGACAAAGGGGAATATTGATCCACACATATATTTACAACACAGTTCCTTCATAGAGGGAACAGCATCCCCTTTTTATGTATGTTCCAGACTTGACCTTCCTCTAACCTTGGAATTATCTGGTTTGTTTTCCTCTGTAGCCAGGTTCTAAAAGACCAAACACAGCTGTAGGCAAAGGAAGATTGGCAAATATCCCACCCAGAGGTGCCATGATAAATGGAAATGGAACTAATGTATGTAAAATTAAGCAAGGTTTGCCTTGGCACCATCATCTCCCATGAGTCATTTGTTTGGGAACTTAGAAGAACACGGTAAAACAAGCAAAATAAGAAAACAAATAGAAGAAGGGCACTCTTTAGAGTCCAGTGAAGCTGAAGATCATAAATTTCCCAGTGGCCAGGGCAGTGAGAAGGTAAGAGATTGAGGAACACTGCTAAAGAATGTTGTAGGGATTTTTGTTTCCAAAGGGGACCTATGCACCTGTTGATGTATTTTCCAGGCCCATGAATGATAACAATTTATGAGGCTATTAATACTAAGCCCAAGATTTATCAGATGTGCTATTTGTCTTGTGGCCAATATAACCTCATAAAATTTGGGTTGCATTGAGTTAAAATGGAGTGTTCTGCTATTGGAGTTATTCAGAGCATTTAAATCGGTTAATCCTACAAGAATTACAAGAACGGTGCATTTAGCCTGCCTATTAGGGAGAGTCTTCAGGGACTCCTACCAGTTGCAGAGCCAGGCTGGAAGGGGCAGTCCATTGCTGGGTGAGGTAAAACGGAGGCAGCAGGGGAGGAATGAGTTCTGGAGAGAAGATGATGTTTCTCTAATCCATCCATGCCAACTGCAGCCAGCTGAGTTTGGCGCACTGAGAGCACACGTGTGTGCTGGGGCTCCAGGAAGGGCTGTTGCCAAGAAAAGAGCACAGTAGAAAGAAACATGAGACAAGCATTGAGGGAGACACTGAGAGTGACATGTCAACAAATTAAGTTCATCAGGTCAGAGACATAATAAACGGTGTGAAGGAAAAAGAAAAAAAATAGAGAAAGGGAGAGAAAAAACAAGATGTAGTCAATAAATCCATTCAACAGATGTTTTCACACTGACGGCCAGGGTCTGTCTGCCTGGCTAAGGAGGAGGTGATGGCAGGAGGCCTGTCAGTTTGAACTGATTGAAAGAAACAGACCTTTAACCTCAAGAGGAACATAGACTTATGCTCATTTCCTATCCCGATACCAACGTTTTTGAATATAGCCCCAGAATTGTTCCAACACAAAGAGTGTGAAGAATGCAACTGCTTTCAAACTACCAGTTTTGCTCAGTTCTGAAAATTCTGTCACAATTTTTTTCTACTAATATTATTAATGCAATTTATGGGCATTTCTAAAAATTGCCAACTAAATGACTATGCTATGATACCTTTGATCTTCATAGGAACAATGACTTTTTTGTGAGTTATATAATAGTGTTAACATTATAAAATTATTAATTTCTTTTATAGAGTATTAAATATACTCCCAATAATTTAGCAACACTATCATTCTTTATACTTCTCACATTACTGAATTTAAGAATGTGAGTTTAGAAGCTTCTAGAAGATTCACTTAGTCTGTTCCTTTGAATCCAAAAAAGGACAACTTCCAAAACAAAGACAGACATCTAATTTAACTATCAATATTACAACTCATTATTTCCTCTCTCTTTACCATAGGGGATTCATTTACTTTTCATGACTTGATATAAATATCATCTCTTTTTGGTGAGACTTTGACTTCACCTTTCTATAAGATTAGATGCTCCCCTAGAACCCAACATATAGCATATACCATACCCATATTTCTAACTCAAGGTTTGGTATATCATAAGCACACAAATTACTTAGTGAGAATGCTAACAAATTGACATACAACACATCTATACTCAATGTATATTTTTTGGTTTCATGTCATTATAACTTTTTCTGTATATTTATAAATATTACATATAAACATGCGAGTTATGGTTGTGAATATAAAGTTCATAGGCACACATTTCCCAAATTAGAAACAAAATTAAGAATCATTTCAAATTAACTTTAAAATAGGTTATAATTAATATATATGTGTATGTCATTACTTCAATTTTGTTCTTCAGAGTTATCAAACTATCAATAAATTGGAAGACGTTTGTCATTTACTCAGACTTTGGACAGTTGCTTTGATGATTACAATGGCTTGGTAAGGATCTATTTCTAGTTATAATAGCTTTTACATTTTTATAAAAGTCTAACTATCCTGTTTTCTTGAGTATTTCCATGTTCACTGCTCTGAGAATACAGCAGTAAAACTGTTATAGCCTCTAATTTCATGGATCTTATAATCAAAGGGAATACCAGCATACAATTATGACTTTGCCAGTTTTCTATTAGGGAAAGGCATGTTTCTGTATATGATCTAAAATACATGAGTACATATGTACCTGAAAATTTTTAATATCCATTCCTTCTGTCTCTTCCTATTATAACCTCTTTAACTCTAAATTAAAACAAAAGACTCTAATGATTAGAGTAGGGTTACTCCTAATACCAATCTGTCCTCTTCCTTCCTGCAAGAATTCTCTACCTAAAGTCCTACTGTAAGCAAAAACGTTGATATAAAATGTCTCTGTAGACAAACCAAAATTTGAATGATATCCCTAACCTATCATTTGGGATCTCCCTGACTTGAAGCCAACTTGCATTCTTGGTCTTAGAATTTCTATTCCTGTCCCAGGTCTAGCCCAAATCCTATCTACTATAAAACAAATGAAATCCCCAGGGTTGCATTTACTTTCATGGACACTTAGCTTTCTTGCCTTTCTGGGTTCCTTCAGCCATTAAAAATTAAAAGCTACATTTGATGCTTATGACCATACATTGGATTTATTATTATATAGCCATTGTTACGATATTTATTTTACTTCTGATTAAAGAATTAAAATTTAAACATTTTATGAGTCTCTTGATGTACAATAGGCTCTGGGCAGTATGTCTGTCTAATGGAAATGTTGGCCTTGTTTATTCATGCTTCCACTGATCTGTCTTTCCTGTGTCCCTTAGGGGTGCCTATGAAGCTTCACCCTCAGCACTCATACACATCCTGTAAAGTTTTCAAATTGTATACAGAGCTGGTTTTTGAGCTCACACTTTAAATGTGCTTTTCCTTCCCATTAAATTTCCTTTACACTTTTTTTCTGCCCTTATCTTTTATATATTAAATTTATTGTCTGCAATAACTTGCAATAACTACTTATTGAGTTCATACTCTGTGCCAGATATTTTGCTGGTATGTGTTGTCTTTTTAATGTTTATTGATGAGTGAGGCAACAAACACAAAATATTTCTGCATATAATGTAGTTACAAATATAAATGCTGTACAGGAAAAATGGAGGGTGTTATGACAAAATATAAATAATAATCTGATGTTGCAGTCAAGGGAAATTTCATCTAAGAAAGTAATGTTTAACTGGAGTTGTGAATGATAAATTGGAATGATCCAGGTTAAAAGGGGTTGCTCTAGATGAATTTGTGCATGTGTGCATGTTTGTGCGTGTGTATATGTATGTGTATGAGATTATTTTTCATTGCATAATATTGAAGCTGTTTGAACCAGGGACCAGATCTAACTCATCTGTGAGCTTATTTCCTGCTGCATCTGATATATCTGCCATTTTTCCTTGGTGCTGAACAATTATTTACACATTAAAAATATGCAACAGGGCCTCCCTGGTGGTACAAGGGGTTAAGACACAGCTTGTGAAGCTATCCACAACCATTGAAGCACAAGTTCCATCCCCGACCAGGGAGGTGACCCACATGCCACAGCAGACCTCTCCTGACTCGCCCGCTGCTCCCCTCAGCAGTGTATTTCAGTCAATCTGCCTGTTGTGCTCCCTACTCTGTCTCTGGTGATCCTCTTACCCTAACACCTTGGCCTGTACCCCAGTTCTTGTATGCATAAATAAATAAATCTTTAAAAAATATGTAACAAATATTTAGATCAATGGTGACTTTCTTTTGCAAAAACATAACCATGTTTAGGATGACTGATTTTTTTTTCTCTTAATGAACAGCTCAATACTATAAGATCTCCATGTGAAAAACACCAACTTCCTTTTTCATTTATATTTATTGCTTCACTTGTATTTCATAATAACCCTGTGAGATAATGTAATATAAGTTTGTCAACTCATAAACATGAAAAACTTGTTAATACAAAATTTCACAACTAGGCAAGCAACATCCTATCACTCTCTACTATTAGGAATATGACAATATAGGTAAAAGACAACTACTTGTTCAATAGCTGTTAGTCATTCATCAAAAGAAGGTCTATTCAATATTTATTGTATATGCAGAACCCTGTATAAGCTATATACCCCCCCGCTTATACAAGAAAGTGGGTTTAGTGTAGCTCCTGATATTGTGGATTGACACCCAAAATTCAAGCACTTTATCCTTAGTTGATAAGTTACATTAGTTTGTCTTTTGGTTCATATATTCTGTACTGTTTCACACATAGTGAGTGAATGATTACATAAAAAGTCTATAAGGATATAGAATACAGAGACCAGACAAAACAATTATCAAGGGACAATACTCTGAAATTATTTATCAGAGCCAAGAGATAATAACAGAAATGAATAATTCGAGAATTATTTTTCTTTTGCCTTTTATGTGGTTTTCCATTTTCTGCAATATAATGTATAATCAAATGTTAGGAAAAATGATAAATGTTATTTAAAATAACAAGTTGAGTCTTTCAAACACTTCATCAGGACAGATTCATAATCCTTTGACCTAAGAGCAGACATAGGTCAAATATTTTCGAACCTTCTGCCAAAACAGGACTATTGATGAAAGAAAGAAACTCGCTTTTGTAAGAGTTGACTACAATTATGCATTTTTCCAAATAACATATGGATTTTAACCTAAAAAGCAAATTTTGACTAGTAAGGCATATATTATCACAGTGCTAATAGTCACCAAAGTATGACAAAAAGGCAGGCCACTTTCATTTCAGAGGGATATTGCTCTGACCACTAAAACAGATCCTTCTCAAGGATGAAAAGTGAGATAATGTTTTTCTGCAATAGTTAGAATTGACCAAGTTTAAATGAATCTTTTTTCTCTTATATTAGCAATTTTAATGAGAAACCCTTTTGTTCATGGTCATTTTCATACTTCTATGTAGGAAAGTGCATTTTCTTCTGCATTGTTAGAAAATTTAAATGTCAAACAATTAGAACTCACCATTATTAAAAATTAGATGGCTGCACAAATGAGTGTTTCATCTATTGTGTACCACTGAAAATGTGTTATGTCCATTAAGTGAATGATAAACACACACCTCAAGAAAACATTTGATTAATATATCTCTCGAAGAGTCTATTTTAGGGCTTCTAGGGTTTTACTTTGTTCTGGATAGTATATATGCTTCCAGACATGCAGATACTCATTGTGAGCAATAATCAAAATGATCTTGCAATTTCAGCAAGAAAAAAATACAGAAATCATAAATTACAGTGTTTAATCTTTGAAGTAATCAGAATTATTCAAACTGGTTTAATATATGACCTTAAGTTTAAAAAAAATCATGGAAAAGAAATTAGGAAAAAAATAGGCCTCTATTTAAAATTCTACTTCTAAAGCCATCTCTTTAAAGAATAAGTTTCTCCTTGTTTGGCCTTATGAGCAAATTAAATTTTCTGTTTAGCTGACAGTGCTTTGAATTTCAGAAGTCTTGCTCTTACAGAAAATTAGAATCGTAAATATCCCTAGAGGTTATCTTGTAAGATGCCAGGGGCTATTGAGAATTTTCATGTTCTAAAGTCTTTGTATTATTCAGGATGGATGAAGAAATACTGGATAATTTTAGATTTTTAAAG